CTTCGCAGCACAAAACATGCGAAAAAAACAACATAACGAAGGCAATATGGCATTACGAATTATTTCTATTCTGACTCATTAACGCGATCTCGCAATGTGAAAAATAAGTACGTTATTTTGAGGCACCTCGCGGGGATATGTGTTTATTCACCTCGGCACTGCGCGCCTCAGTGAATAAATCACATATCCTCTCATTGCCTCAAAATAACCTATACTTATCCACCGTTAAAGCTAAACCTCAACGGGCTTTAAATAACCGACCGCCGTCCCTGCATGCATGATCATGCATGCAAAGAATAACCTACTGACCTAATTTTAAACCATTACGACGGTTTCAATGCAGGCGATGGCAGTGGTTAGCGCTATCCGGCAACGTACAGTACTGCAACGTAACCGCTCTGGCACTGATTAAAATTACTAATAACAATATAATATTTTACTGAGAAAGGTGACAAATCCTTCGTTGAGATCTATCGTCCAATATCGCTCCTCTGTCTTGCATCGAAAGTCTTCAGGGGTTGCGTGTTGAACAAGCTGCGCGATCACCTGTTGCAACTACTAAACTCGTCACAACCAGGGGCGGATCCAGACCCAAAACTGACCGTGGCTCCTCAACCTTGCTTAACTAGGGTCCGGGGTCCGGGGGCATGCTCCCCCATTTCGCGCGTTCTGAGCGGCGTATTTCCTCCTCAAATTTCGGTCCTCAACAAACAAACATTTTGGACAAAAGTAACGAAAAACAAAGTTTCGTTTTATTCCAATTGCAACACACTGCTGTTTTGTTCATATGGACGGTGAAGCATTTGCTTTTGGAGTTTTGGTGGTTGTGATATTCATATTAAACATCAACAGTTTGGGTTGGATAGTGTAATTGACTTGTAAACCAATTACCGTCGCTAGGGAAAACATCAAGAATTCGTAATTATGCGCATTATGCATTGCTTCTTCAGTAACTGCTGCTGTATGATCATATTCAGAGTGACCATGCAGATTTGGTAATTTTATTAATTACTTTTGGTAATATTTCACGATTTTTCTGACTTTTCAGGTAATTGAAAATTTTTGGTAATTTTTTTAGTAATTTCTCTAAAAGTTAGTAATATTTTGGTTATCGCATGAAATTCAACCAAATACGCCATAATGACACAACCTGTTATTCAAAAATTAAATGAGAACAGTTGCAGGTCTATGTCTGCAAAGCTGTGCATCCAAATTGCAAGCTGCTGGCTCAAGCTGTCCAGCTGAATCGACGGAATCCTGCTGATCACCATGTGCTGATTGCGGGCTAGGGACCCGGGACTTTTTGCAACCAAAAAGTACAAGTGAGAAAGAAAAACATGGAAAAAACATAGTTTCAGTGATGGAAACTGTTTTACAGATTTTGTTTTGCTCAGATGTTTTATTGATTTTCAGACCACTTTGGTTGACAGCAGAAATTTAGTAATTTTTTCTACGTTTTGGTAATTCTTAACATGCTTATTTAGTAATTGCCTTGCAAAATATCTGGTCACACTGATCATATTTTCAAAAACTGACATGGCAGTATCAGACAAGCACTTTGCAAAGGCAATTTTAAGCCAAGTGAACGCTCCATTCTCGTGCTGCGATTTAACTATGGGATGACTAACATAGTATGGAGCATGTTCATGCAACTCAATACAGGGTGTATCAGAAAAAAGTAGACAATTTTGAAACGGCTCTCAATTTCATAAATCCGATGTCATTAGATATTTGATAAATATAGATTGTTTGGGTACTTATAATGTAGAATAAGCAAGAAATTTTCGTAAAGATTAATTTTCCAAAGCAGGGGGACGTCTTTTTAGCAGCATTAAAAATAGCTTGGTTGTGAAATTTTAAAGGTTAAAACAAATTTTGAGTTCATGGGCGAGAAATTTGTTACGTGTTTTATTAGCGGTCCAAATATCAGAAAATGTGCTCATATTTTAAGTCCTTCAAATAGGCGCTGAAACTTTCATTTTTTGGCACCAATGCCTTTCACGCATGCTTAATTAATTTATGCTTCCACCTAATTCGCATATTGTTACTTCATTTTTCTTTACAACATACATGTAGTTAAAGAAATATGTGTTAACCCCGTTACAGTATATTGTTCAAGATCATTCCAATGATGAGTAAAACTACCCAAGAACTAGACAAAGTAATGTAGCACAGAATGTGGTATTTTGGTGTGTATTGTGACGTAGTAATTGAGTGAACTATCATTTATATTTGCTTGCATGGCCAATCTTCGCATGGTTCATTTGAGTAACAGCTATATAAAACAATGGGGGAGGATGTGGGTGACTACCATATTACCACCCAGTTGCCAGAATGTCAATTATTTAACCTATTGAGAGCCAGCACTCTCCCCTTGACAAGTAAAATCATCTGATGTTAGACAGAGTAAAATAATAAAGTATGGCACTTTAGGCCTCATTAGAGCACACTGCAACTCGTATAAGTTAATTTATATATTGCGTAGATTCTCAAAAATTAACTCAATATTCACGTCTGAAATGTTTATACATTTGAAAACAACACTATCGCTCCTTCCTAGCATCGTGATCTACGGCTTCAGAGCGCATGCGCATTTGCGCTGCTATAGAAAAAATCGGGTGTTCCGGGGGAAAGATCCTTTAAGCCCAGGTCACACTACACAACGATAACGATACGATAACTTGCATACGCGCGCTGATTGGTAAAAAATTTATCGCTTAGGTGAGCGATTTTAAAATCGTTATCGTTATCGTCTAACGATAATTTTATCATTTTCGTTGTTGTGTGGACAGGTCAGGGGCGCCGGAGCCACAGGGGCAGCGGGGGCAACTGCCCCCACTGCCCAAACGGTGCGGGGGCAGCACGGGGGCAACAGGTTGCCCTTTTTACTGGAACTGCACTTTCAAATTCGTTCGTTATTCACAGGAATTGGAATTTGTAACTATTTTTGAGCAATGTTTAAGCAATCTTTGCTTAAATTTTAACCAGTTGCAGTAAAACTAATGCTAAATCAAGCAATATATGTCTGTTTACTGATTTTATTTTTCACCTTTACCACAGGGCAACGAATAAAATTGTTCGAAATTAATGTCGAAGTTTGCCAACCCATAATAGCCACAAGTAATCGAGTATCCATTCAGTAAAGTTTTAACAAATATTGCCGCTCAGAAAAATGAAGTGCCCTTTGGAATGGCTGCCCCTGCCGCTTCACATTGCTTCCGGCGCCCCTGAACACAATTGTTTTGACAATTATCGTGTGTTTACAATTTATCGTATCGTTATCATTGTGTAGTGTGACCGGGCCTTTACACAACATGAGAAGCGAATGTTCTGAAATTACAGAATTTACAATAACGACAACGATTCTTCGAAATTTTTGTGAACTTGGCAAAAGGACAAAAGAATATTTAAAGAAAATAAATAAAATTGCTTAAAAAAGCACTGACTAAGTACAATAAATCACTGCGAACATAAATCGTACACCCCCCCGGAAAGTTTACTCTATGACTGACTGACTGTTTGACTGACTGATTCGTGTGAATTCGCCAGCCATCACAACAGTGTGAAGTGAAACTTCACACTAAAAATGATCAAGCTATAGCAGGATGAAAACAAAATTACTCAGTTTTTCATGCATACTTGTTAAGCTTAAACGCTCAAAATTCAACACATCGGATATTAACCACAAGCGGAACAATGGAAAACAAAGAACATTTGAAACGAAGAGAGTTTTTAAGCATAAATTTTAAGTGTTAGGGACAAACACAGACAGACTTTCCTTTGTGTTATCTTTCATTAACTTTATTACAGGCACGATTAATAGTACCCTGGTTGCCAGAGGTTCTGTATCTTTCGCCTTATTCCCGCTCGTATTTATTTTACGCGAGGCGAAGAGAACATCTGGTGGCACGCGATACAAATCTCCCTTCCATGCTGACGTTGCTGTTTAAGAACTTGCAAAACCGGTTTTATATTTTGTGACGTTTTTAAATTTCCGTGTTTGTCATATTATCAAAATAGCTCTCTTCAGACAGCCTTGTGTAAAATACTAAAAATAAGCAGCTGAAACATGTAGATTATTCATTAGAAACATGTAGATTATTCTCGCAACGCACAAAGCAAAAAGCAACCTTACTGATTGTGGAATGCCGTTTGTATTAGGTCTATTTATAGCGAACGTATAAAGTCAAAAGTGAAAGAATATAAACATATAAATATTTATATATATACGTGTGCAACGCAGCCAGTATGGTTGTCCTTAACAGACAACGGAAAAATATTGGCAAAATAAATCATATTAATAACTATTAAAGTCATAGAATTGCCAAAATTTAAAACCTTGAACGATATAAAGCAAGTGATCGACACTTTATATTTTACAAATATTACTACTGTAAATTTTGTAATAGAGTGAACATGTTATGCCGTCGACTCAAGTCATGCCGCGATGGCACTGCAGCTCTTCTCAAGCGCAAAAAGTCTTTTTATAGCCGAACAAACTAAGTTAAACTCAAATAACCCGCACTGAGTAAAGCATTTTAATACGTTCGTATTATTTCTGTATTTTGTTTACATCATGTCTCTGAGATTTATAAACAGGTTTTTTTGTCTAGCCAATCACATCACTTCATGTGACTGCTAATTATAACTAACCAATCATGTGCTTGGTACAAATTTTGTACCAAAGGAAGAGAGATTGGTATCGCGTGCCACCAGAGGTTCTCGAGGGTACCTAAATATCGAGTCAGGATTCGACCCAGGACTCGAGCCAGGACTCGAGCCAGGACTCGAGCTAGGACTCGAGCCAGGACTCGATCCAGGACCTTCATTTTTAAACTTGTAAGCTGCTTGCAGAATGTCATCGAGCCACAGTTCATAAGGTCTATTGTATTCGTCTATCTTATGTACTACATATTACATGTAGTGTATCAATTATAGCTACATGTCACAAATAGCTTTCTTCGTCAATTTTGAACTTATTGGTTTACTCAAATACTTACAGTGACGTCTTTGCAAACAGATTTTGATTTTTGCACAGTAATCCCATAACAAGGATTAATATAGTAGACAAAGAAACCACCTGGAGCAGTATAGCTAGATGTGTGAAAAAGAATAGAAACATATTGTTATACCAGCTGACAATTTAAAAAAAGTATAAAACACATTTCAATCTCCCAAAGTATCACCTTTAGATTGACGGGCAGAATTGGGTAGTCTACACCCAAGAGGCGGTCACCCCCTGGAAAACATTCAACAGTCTTTCAGGGGGGTGAATGCCTCTCGTTAGCGCACTGGATAGGAACATGGGAACTGCATGCAGTTGGTGGCCGGTTACGGTTTATCGTTCGAGTTAGACCTCTGTGTATTCAAGATTCTTTAATGGCACTATTTCATTAGAATGAATTAAAAGCAATTTTGGAATAAGAGATAGAACGAAAAGAAAAAGGAAGATAAAATCAATAAAGTGGTAGTGCATAGTGGTCAAAGGAGCATATAGCTTTCTAATTAACAACTGTCTATATATATACTATTTCATGATATTAACTGAATGAGATAAGCCAAAAGAAAATGAATGAGATAAGCCAAAAAATAAACACACATTACAATACATAATATCTAATCAAGACTATTCACAAACTATATTAATTGATCATTTTTCTACAGTATTAAATTTGTTCAGAAAGGAGAAATATTGAATATTGTCTTTTAAACGGGCATGGTTTGGCCTCGTGTTATTTCAGATATTCTTGCCATTTTGGATTTCAAAAATAACTTGAAGTTGAATTGTTGTCTTATTTTCTCGCCATTCTACAATCAACATGAAAATGTATCCTCATCTGGTAAGTAGTCAATCTCTTCGGAGATCAAAACAATCTCTTCGGAGATCAAAACAATCTCTTCGGAGAACAAAACAATCTCTTTGGAGAGCAAATGAACAATCTCTTCGGAGAGCAAATAAAAAGCAAATACATATAACATTGTACATTTATACCGTACTCATAGTAGCTATATTAAGTGTATAAATTCAGATCACAGTGCATGTAGTGGCAGATCGACTTTACGGAAATTAACTAAGCAAGCAAATGCTATTAAACGATCTAGAGACCGTGCACCTTCCAGATTGCCTTTAAAGAGAATTATATTGGCTATGAGAAAGAGAAAAAATAGAGCATTAGCAAAGCATTATTTTGTAAGAAATGTCCCCAAGTCATCTATTTTGAACAAGATAGCTAGTAATTTCAAGCAATGTTGTTTTCAATTTGTGAAAATACAACATATTTTTATCAATTCATTTGGATATTTTAAGCCATGTGTCAACATAAATATGAATACACCAAAACAATCATTGTGTAATATGTTCTACAGTCAAAACATAGCAGGCAATATTGCCAATGAACAATATCACATATCTCAAAGGGCACTAATGTTGTCAGGAGATACTGAATTAAATCCTGGTCCTGTTCAAAACAAAACAGTTCAACTAGGATGTCGTCAAATGTAGTGTTACAACAAAGGTTAAGACGCTTTCAGTTAAGACCATTTGATGTTAGTGGTGATGGTGACTGTTTCTTTCGAGCTGTGTCACATCAATTATATGCTGACCCTGAACGACACTTTGAAGTTAGAGCGGCCGGTATTGCATATATGAGAGATAATCCTGAGAGATTCATTGAAAGTAATACAGAAATCTCTTGGTTAGAATACCTTAATAATATGTCTATGCAAGGGACATGGGGCTATGCTAAGATAATACAAGCTGTGGCTGATCAGCTTAAGTTAAAAATTACTATTGCAGAGACACATGAAGGTTTTCGTGAGTACAGTATAATACAACCTGTATCATCAACACAGCAACTAACTCCTGTCTATTTGGGTCATATAGATGAGTATCACTATGTATCAACATTGCCATGTACTTCAACGTCGGATTTTGTTGAGATATATCCTGAACAGTCAACCCAGAGCTCTCAGCCTAAGCAAACAAGAACACAGTATATAAACAAATACATGAAACAAAAACGAGCTAATGAGACACAGAGCCCTGAGGCTAAGGAAAAGAGAAGAGTTTATGCAAAGGAATATAGGAAACGTAAACAGGCCAGTGGGAGTTCCCATTCCTTGGCACTGAACATTGAGGCTAAGCAAAAGAAAAGACTGTACGCAAAGGAATATAGGAAACAAAAACAGGGCAGTGAGAGTTCCCAACCCTCACCACTGAGCATTGAGGCTAAGCAAAAAAAAAAGAATGCACGCAAAGGAATATATGAAGCGTAAACGGGCCATTGAGAGTTCCCAGCCCTCAACACTGAGCATTGAGGCTAAGTAAAAGAAAAGACTGTACGCAAAGGAATATAGGAAACGTAAACAAGTCAGCGAGAGTTCCCAGCCCTCAACACTGAGCATTGAGGCTAAGGAAAAGAAAAGACTGTACGCAAAGGAACATAGGAAATGTAAACAGGTCAGCGAGGGTTCCCAACCCTTAACACTGAGCATTGAGGCTAAGCAAAACAAAAGACTGCACGCAAAGGAATATAGGAAACAAAAACGTTGTGAGATTGAACCACTACAAAGTTTAATATCCCAATTTCATGATGTTGTCTCACAAAGTCCTCTTTATATTTGCACTTGTTGTGACCAATTATGGCACAAGCATAGTGTCATTCCAGTCACGACACTTAAAGAAAATAATCCTGATGTTCAAAAAAGATTGTTAAATAGAAAAAGTGTTAATAATGTGGAGTGGTTGTGTAAAACCTGTAATAAGCATTTAAAAAACAATGGGCTGCAGTTTCCAGAAAAACCTTCGTTTTTCGATCTAAATTAATTAGAGTGTAGATTGCTTGCTCCAAGGCTTGCATTTAAAAAATGAATGCAAGCTCCTAGAGGTAGCCAACTAAAAATTAATGGAAACATTGTTAATGTTCCAGCAGATGTTGTTAATACCGTTAACATGTTGCCAAGGTTTCCAAATGATACCAGCACAATTAAAGTTAACCTTAAGAGAAGATTGCAATACAAAAGTTCAGCTAAATCACTAAATGTCAGACCAAATAAAGTAGCAGAAGCTGCCAAATGGCTTGTAAATAATGGTAACCTTTATAATGATGAAGGTATAACTTTCAATGACACTTGGCTTGAAGATAATTCAAATACTCAAATGCTATTTGATGATAGTGACAATGATCAAACCTCAGAGGGTTCAGAAAATGTTGTGGACTGTAATGCAGAAAGCTTGAACTGTGACACAGAATGTAAAACCCAGCAATCATCAGCATGTGATGATGATGAACACTGGAGTGAAGACGAGGCAGAAATACCTGCTGGAATCACTGACACTATGTTAACATCTCCAGATTTTGTCACTGATCATGAACGTCAGCATATTTTAAATGTTGCACCTGGTGAGGGCAATAAGCCTATGAGTATATTTAGAGATAAATACTCAGAGGAATTAGCATATCCTGGTATATTTCTTGGACAGAAGCGACCAGACAATACAAATAGACTAACCAAAGTCCATTATAGTGAAATTTGTAAATCTGAATTAAGGAGGTCTGACCGAAGGGCTGCAATGTGTGGGGAAAATAGGTAGGTAGGTAAGGTAGGTAGGTAAAACTTTATTTTACTACGCTAAGCCCTTCAGCAAAAGCTGATTTCCAAGGGGGGCGTAACATTAAATTCAAATTTACATTAAAAATTTAGAAAAGTTAAACATACAAATACAGTTACTTACATGCAGTGATTACAATTACATAGATAACTAGAGGGCACTCAGAGACTGCATACCTCCGACCGTTACCTGGAAGTGAAACGCAACCTTGGAATTTCCTAAGAAATCCACTTTATAATTCTTAAGCATAAAAGATTTCAGGCCCCCGCGAATTGAAATCGAATTGCTAATAGAACATATTACTGTTGTTGTACTGTACAGTACTTGTAAAATAAAAACTTATTAAGTGTCATTAAATAAATGCATAAATTTTGCTTTATGCACTCGCGCGCGCAGTAATTTTCACAGTTGTGCTATTTTAAATTCCCAGGCAGCTAAAATCTTTTGTCTTTAAAACAATGTCGATTTCTTGGGAAATTCCGAGGTTGCGTTCTTTTTATACACCCTGTATTGAAGTAATCTAATGTTGTTAGAATTTGAATGGACTGGCACTTTGCTGAACGTAATAATGCGTAACTCCGTAAGCCTTGTTTTAGACATTGAATTTCGGTCGCGTGAAATGCAACTAAGACAATAGATAATGAAGGCCGAAGCTTAATGAGGTTTATCATCTCATTACTGTCTTAGCACTGAGTGCATAAATTATACACGTCCTAATTACGCATTCAGTAATATATTTTGTTAATTGACCGGGAAAAGCAAGACAAAATTTGGTTCATTTCTCGTTCAATTTTTAACCAAATTCAACCAAATTTTAATCAGTTCTTCCTTAGCCGATGGGAAATGCATTCAAAAAATTTCGTACGGATATGTTTGGTATTTCTTGAGTTATCGTGCTCACAGACAAACACACACACATACACACACACACACACACACACACACACACACACACACACACACACACACACACACACACACACACACACACACACACACACACACACACACACACACACACACACACACACACACACACACACACATACAAACCCAGATGATTACATAACCTCCTGGCGGAGGTAATTAAATAGATAATAGTACATACAGTACATACATACATATATAATAGTAAATATTAATAGATTAAATAGTCAAGGTAAATATGGGTTTGAAAACTCTAATTAGTAGCCAGGTGTCATACGTTTTTATTGAATATAGCTAGTGATTCTTTTCCTCTTAATTCCTTTGGGAGACTATTCCACAGTATACCAAATTCAACATATCTGAATTTAAAGAGGATTTACATAATGCCTCTTGGGATCCAGTTAGCATGGAATTGGATTCCAATAGTGCCTGGATTAACTTTAAGAGCTTGATATCTTCAATTATTGACAAACATGCACCCATGAAACAAAAGACAGTAAGGGGTAACGAATGCAAATGGATAAATCCCGAAATTCGGCAGAAAATGGGAGAGCGTGATTACTATTTAAAACGAGCGAAGCGATCTAACAGCGAGAATGACTGGTCCAGTTACAGGCGACTACGAAATTCCGTAACAAATATAAGGATTAGTAAATCGAAATATAATAAACATTTACTGTATGAACAGGCGGATGACCCAAAGCAATTCTGGAGACATATTAAAGCGTGTTTTCCAGTAAAATCGGAATCTCAGGATGTAACAAACGTTTTTAAAGTTGATGAAATAAGTATTACAGATAAGAATGAGATATCAAATGGTTTCTGCTCTTACTTCTGTTCAATTAGTGAGAAGCTGCGGAGAGTTAGTATATGGAGGTTTAATGAGAATTCCTATAGAACTTTAAAAGATCGTGTAAATCCAAATAACGAGACATTTGAATTTAGACGTGTGGAACCGATTGACGTTTTTAATGAGTTAAGGCAAATAAAGAAGGGCAAAGCTACTGGATATGACAAAATACCGCCAAACCTAATTCGAGATGCCGCAGAAGAAATAGCAACACCTCTATGTTATTTAGTCAACATGTCACTCCAGAAAGCTCTGTTCCCTTCGGCAGAAAAATATGGCAAGATAGTTGTACTGGGAGTGCCAGTAAATGTGGCCGAAAACAGGTTTCAACTCACTTTAATTATCAAAATGTATGGAAAATTACAAAATAGTAAATTTAGTTAGATTTAGGTAAAACACTGTTTTCCTTCGCACGCCATCTTAGCTCTCATGCGCATGCTCTAACGAAACGTAAATAAACATCGTCCAAAAGGCGATCGCAGAGAGATTATTGTCTACAACCCAATACACCGGAAGGACTGGGGTCGATGCGATCGCATCTTAAAATCTGAATGTAAATTTCTCTAATGCATTGTTCACTCAATACTATATAATGTCACTGTCCGTTCATACACTCTCTTTTGCTTCCGACTTGGTTTCCTGGTCTTGATCCATATCTACTGGTACTAATAACGATAATCGCTGAGCACTTCGTGACACAATGACAGCCTCGTTAT